AATTCCCAATGCATATATTTTGGCTTGATTTTAATTGATTGGCATTCCTAAATGGTTTAGAGCAATGTTAAACCTGTTACATGAAAATCCAAGTAAAATTATGATAACTTAATTGTTTAGGAAATTATAATTGCAAATTACATGCTCTTACAATAATAGTTAGACATATTCAACCAAACTAACAAAACATGTCTATGTTTTACATCACATTGAGTTGAATTGATGATTGATATATGATATTGATATTGATTCAAAGATAGATGTGCAAGATGATGAATTTCAACTAAAAATGATGATTGTTGTAGTATGTATGCTAGTTATGAGATAAATGCCACGTATGCTATGTTGATTTGTTATTATACATGCTAGAATTTATATGTGATAAACTCCTTATATAGTTGTGAAATACATGATAAGATTACATGTATTGGATGAATGATGCATTCTTATGCATGCTTGATGAGACCTATGATGAATTAAAAAAAATCCCTTATGAAAAATATTAAGTCTTGATGCCCTTCATTAACATAAACAACTGAACATTCTACTAGCGGGGCTTATTGAGACTAAACTCAAGGTACTTATTATTCAAAATAAGATTGTGTTATAGTTAATGGGTCTTAGCAATTATTATATTGTTCGATATGACAAAGTTACTTTACCAAATTTACTTATCATGGCTTATTGAGACTAACCTCAAGGTTATGATAAACTAAATGAGATCATAGCCCACTAGAAAAAAGTAATTTTTCTAAATTGATAGTGAAGGCCATTGATTTCATTAAAATTGTGGGAGCACCCAATATATATATTTAGACCTTATCTATATTGGTACTGAACAATATGACCAATACTTGTTCATATTTTGTAGGTGCAAAAATGATTAAGAACTTGTCGCTTCATTGTATACTTGATGCTAACAATCTCATAAAGCCTAACTTCAATGATTGGTTTACCACAATCTAAAGCTTATCCTAAGACAAGGTAAAATGCTTTATATTCTTGATGAGCCAGTTCTATTAGAACTAAATGCTAGTGTTAATGATGAAGTGTGGCTAGATTGTGAAACCCACAACAACCATACTGATTAAGCCGCATGTATCATGGTGGCTAGCATGACTCCTGAGTTACAATGGCAACATGAGAATATGGATGCTCCAACAATCATTTTGCACATTAAGGAATTGCTTGACAAACAAGGGCAAACTGAGAGATTTGAGACTTTTAAGGAATTATTCCAAAGTGATGTCTAAAAGCATTATCTCAAGATGATCAAGAAACTTGGACAATTTGGATTTGCGATAGATCATGAGTTAGGTGTTGACTTGATCTTGTTATCTTTTCCTAATAGCTTTTCACAATTTCTAATAAACTTCAATATTCATCAAATAGAAGTAATATTACCATAATTGATAAATATCCTAAACACTATCAAAAAGTTCATTAAGAATCAAAAGCCTGATACTCTTTTAGTTTCTTCATCTAAAGCCAAAAAGAAGTTAACAAGAAAAAGAAAAGTAAGAAGGTTGATAACCTATCTCTTTTTAACACATCTTTTTAGGTGTTGGATACTGGATGTGGTTTTTACTTATGTGATGACATATAGGGACTAAAGAAGAGTAGATACCTAAAGAAGGGAAGGGTGTCCTTATGTGTTATAAATGATGCAAGTGTTGTTGCCTATGCCATGGGGACTTATTATTTGCCTTTACCTTCTGGTTTAGTTTTAAAACTAAAGGATTGTTATTATATTCCTGTCATAACTTGAAACATCATTTCAATTTCTTATTTAAGTATGATTGATGGATACTCATTTAATATTAAAGGTAATTGTTGTTCCTTTTATTTAAATGATGCATTTTATGGCATGGGAATGTATGATAATGGCTTATATGTTCTTATATTAAACAATCATGTTTTCAATATAAATGTCAAAAAACCTAAGTTAAATAAATTGAATCAATCATACTTGTGGCACTGTAGGCTTGGTCATATCAATGAAACAAGAATCACAAAGTTATATAAACAAGGTACTTTGATCCTTTTGCTTATGAATCATATGGAACTTATGAATCATGTTTACTTGAAAAGATGACCAAATCACTAAAAGGAAAAAAAAAAGTAGTGTGGTTCTTAGACTAATACATTCGGATATATGTGGCCCAATGAAAACAAATGTTAGAGAAGGGTACTCTTATTTCATTATATTCATTGATGATTATATAAGATATGGTTATGAATATTTAATGAAATACAAGTCTGAATCCTTTGAAAAGTTCAAAGAATTTAGAATGAAGGTTGAGAAGAAAATTGGTAAAAGTATCATGACACTTAGATCAAATCAAGGTGATGAATATTTAAGCCATGAGTTTCTAGGCTATCTAAAAAAGAATAGAATTCTCTTACAATGGACTCCACTTGGAACACCACAACACAATGAAGTTTTCGAAAGGAGAAATAGAAAATTGTTAGACATGGTTAGATCCATGATGAGTAATTTGAATCTTCCTATATCCTTCTAGGGTTATGCACTTGAAACAGCCACTTATATTCTAAATATCTAAATTTGTTGATAATACATCATATGAAATATGGAAATGTAAAAGACCTAGCTTGTCATACATAAGGATTTGGGGAAATAATGCTTATATGAAGCATGCACAAGTCAACAAGCTTAGAGCTAGATCGGTTAAGTGTAAATTTATGAGATATTCAAAGGAAACTACTAGATATTATTTCTACAACTCTAAGAAACAAAAGGTGTTTATTTCTAAACATGTTGTCTTCTTGGAAAAAAGAGTTTGTCCTTAAAGAGAACATTGGGAGTAAAGGAGAACTTGATAAAGTTCAAGAAACATAAATTGACACAAGAATGGAATTTGAGCTAATGGCTAAGGCTTCAAATGCACAACCAAAAGTTCAAAGTACACAAGAACTCTATAGGTCAAGTAGCAAGACTCACTAAGTTCCTGAAAGATATAGATTTCTCATGGACAAGGACGATTTGATAATAGATTATGATCCTACTACCTATCCAAAAGTAATATTGGACATTGATTCTAAGAATGGCATAAGGCCATGAAATTTGAAATATAACAAATGTATGCAAACCAAATATGAACTTTGGAGGAACCATCCAAAGGGATAAAACCCAAAGGGTGCAAGTGGGTTTTCAAGAAAAAAATTAACATGGATGGCAATGTACAAACATACAAAACCAGGCTAGTTGCAAAAGTTATAATCAGAATCAAGGAGCTCATTTTCATGAAACTTTTTCACCAGTAGCTATGTTAAAATCCATTAGGAACTTGCTTGCTATTACCACATATCATGACTATGAGATATGGTAAATGGATGTTAAAGCAACATTCCTTAGTTGGAATTTGCCAGAGGATGTGTACATCACACAACCCAAAGGCTTTGAATCAAAAAATCATGTCAACATGGTATGTAAGCTTCAAAAGTATCTATGTACTTAAGCAAACATCAAAGAGTTGGAATACACATTTTGATGAATTATAGAATTCAGATTCATAAAAACCGTAGATGAGCCTCATGTATACAAGAAGACAAGTGTGAGTGCAATCATTTTCATAATGTTATATGTGGATGGTATATTGCTTATAAGAAAATATATACATCATTACAACAAATTTTGTCTATTAGTAACACATAAAATAATGTCACTAAATATTTGTTTTTCATCACCATATATATTTTGTGACAAAAAATTAAACGTCACAACATTCATTATGTTTGCACCGTCACTAAAGATCTAACATGAAGATACCAAAATATCTTCACCTATTGTAAATTTATCGTGACAATAAGAGTCAAACATCATCTTATACTTTTTTTTTTGTGACGTTAATTTTTGTCAGTTATTTATGAAAAAAAATGTCATTAAAAACTATAATTGTCACAAAATAAATGATAAAATTTGATATATTTATGACAAAAGGTAAATTGTCACAGCATTGGTGATATAATTATCGTCACCAATTATTATAAAATAATGTCAAGCATAACAATAAAAGCAAACGCCGTCTTATACTTTTTTTTGTGATGTTATTTTTCATCGACTATTTATGAAAAAAAAAATGTCACTAAAAGCTATAATTGTCACAAAATAAATGACAAATTCTAATATATTAGTGACGAAAAGTAAATAATCACAATTTTAGTGACCTAATTATTGTCATCAGTGATTATAAGATAATGTCAAACATGACAATAAAATCTAAAATCACCTCGTGTTTTTTTAAGATATTAGATTTTGTCAGCTATCTATGAAAAAAAATCATTAAATGCTATAATTGTCACAAAATAAATGATAAAATAATAATCTTCTTAGTTGAACAAAACTAATAATCTTGAATCCTGCTTCTTGGGCCCGCAATATTTGCTCCAATCTTTTGTGTTTTTCCATTGGTGATAATACTTCAACATACTGCAAGATATCAGAATGATGAATTTCTCAATAGCTCTATAATAAAAGTAACCATTTATTCACAATAAAAAATACTAAACAACTTTTAGGTTCCCAAATCTACATTAAATTAAATCAAGATTAGTAGTAAGAGAGTTCAAACCTGCGTATTAGACTTGTTTGCCACAATCATCATCATATTGCCCAATGTTGACCTGATAGATCTACAGTAGATCTACATACAATGTTTTGAGATTCCCCTTGCCATGTTTGTTGTGTACATGGAGGTCTAGTTGCAAGTAGGCACTTTTTTCGCAATCTTCCATATTTTAGGTTGAAAACCCATGTCTAACATTCGATCAGCCTCTTTTAACACAAGGTAAGAAACTTGATGGAGGCTAATTCTCCTCATCTCTAGAATATCATTTAACCGGCCAGGAATGGCAACCACGATATCTACTCCTCTCTCAATCTCTCTCCAATGAGGACCTTTGGTGTCCTCCAATTTTTTTAAATCAAACCACTGCACAGAAACATATAAAACTAAAATCAGTAAAAAATCATAATTCTACCTTCACCTTTGAAAGACTTCTTTGTTGACATTATTGAAGAAATTAGAAGACAAAAAAATTGAAAAAAAAAAATTTGAACAAATTGAAGTCCTGACTTAAAGAATGGTAACATACTGTGCAACTAATTCTTGATGACTTCCCAAACTTGTGAGCTTCATCTTGTAACTGAGTAGCCAACTCTCTTGTTGGTGACAATACTTACATAGTTGGATCCATTTGAGGATCATTATAGCAATGCTTGAGATGCATAAATCAAGGAATTAGGTAACCCAATGTTTTCCCATAACCTATTTTCGCAATGGCCACTACCTCTACCTTGCAAAGCAATTGGCCATGACTGAGCCTGAAGTAGGGATGGAGTAGAAAACCTAGCATTGTGTACCTGTTAAAACAAAAAAAAAAAAAAAGATCCAACAACCTTCGTGAGCAGAAGTATTGCCTTTAATACTTATGGTTTTCTTTTAAAAGTTATAGAGGAGTGGCTTATGTCAGAAGAAGCATCACCCCCTTATGCAAGCAGCCAATGCTTACCGACGCAAGTTGGAACAAAATGAGGCCCCTTCTTCCGTTTGGACATGGCATACTAAATCATCATGTATGGCAATCCTGACCACAAACTTGGGTCATTTAGAAAGCCCTTCCTAAAAGTACATGGTGGAGCCAGTAAAAGGAACGAGAGGATGACACATGAATGAGGCGTGGAGAATGGTGCAGTTACAGGGCTGCCTTGGCTCTGTTTCTAGGTTAACGCAATAATCCTCTATTTTTCCTTTTGGAGTGGGCGTTTTGGTTACAACAGTGGATAATAGGATGGAAGGTTGGTAAGTTGGTAGCTAGTTATTAGCAAGTCACCAAAGCTAACAATACAAAGTGGATTTGTCCATATCTATTTGAAAGACCACAATCAGAAATAATATGAACTTCCAAAACAAGAATATGGATGCAATGTTGTGACAAATATAGGACTAAGAATCAATTATTCATTTAATACAAACTTCAAGTAACCTAAAAGCATATTTTCATTAATAGTTGAAAACCTGCATAAATTAATAACAATACAATTGGCAATCCTGTAAGCTATATTTTGATAGTAGGCTATCATGTCAGTTGAGTACTAATAAACTGTTCTGCACCACCTTATTATGCAATCACTATGCTAAAATAAAACCATGTAAATAAATTACATATGTCATCAGGCTTTAATGGATAACACTATAGCCATGCAGGTTAGGCTTTATATTGTATACTTATTACTAGTAAATATGACATTAAGCATTTGGCTCTCTCTAGTGGCTGCAACAATAATGAGATGAGACTTAGCTTGAAATCCAATAGTTTATTTTACGAACAATAATCTTTGTAAGTCTATCATAACTTACGATGACCAATTCGTAAACACAAACTATCCATCACGTTATAATTCCACACAATCAAAATATTCCATTGTAAAATATTCCATTGTAAAGCACACAATAGGCTTTAACTCTAACAGGTAAACAAGAAAATGTAATTAGCTCTTTCACCATTCACTTTAGAATTCTCCAGCTTCAAGAAAAAAGGACCCTTTAGTTGACTTTGCAATTTGTTCATCAAGAGATTGTATGATACAAAAAGGTTCCCGTAACATTGAGCACATAGAAAAGCATTGATTTAGTCACTTTTTAATGGCATACGTTTTAATGGCTTCTTCACAAAAGTCAGTTATCCATATGAAATTCCTCTCTTTTTATAGCCAGCTTAGTAATGGACATCTATGCAAAACAAAAGCACCTCACCATTTATGCTTTAGGCATCCAAAGTGGCTCAATAAATAGATAAATAAATAAATAAAAACCTATTCCTCCTTACAGAGAGTTATAGGATTGGGACGGCAAGGAACCAAGCATATGTTTAAAAGACATAATTATCATGAAAAACCCTTAAATTTAAATTTTTAAGGGAAAAAAAAAAGAAATTGCATAATCCACAGTGCTTTGTGGTGCTATAAAATTCTAGCATTGAAAGAAAAAGAAAGAACTATAAGAAATTAACATCACCATCCTCATATAAACTCTAGCTATTTCAACAGCAACATAGTGAACTTCAGTCCTAAGTTGCATGCAATGGCCTATCCATAATTAGTGTGAATCTTTAATTTTAACTGTATATTCAATGCAAGACTATAAAAAATGAAAGCCAACTCATTGATCAATGATCAGTCAATAACTATTGAAGGCTTTTATCTCTCACTGTGCTTCATCTTTCTCTCAAGTCATAACATAGCATAACTTTCAAAGAATTTCTTCATGTAATAGAAACTATCTAAACCTAGCAAAAAACTTTGTTGATGTTATACCATCAAAAAAATTTGCAAAATATACATAAACAGTAAGTGTATAGATAGTTTACTGAAAGGATAGTACCTTTTTCTGATGGAATATTTATTATGAATTTGATTAACTACTGCTAAACTGAACTGTGCATATCTACTCCACCCATATTTATTATGAGTCAGCAATATCCAAATACATAGACAAATGATCCGCATTGTTTCCTTTACTAAATATCAGTATTCGCCTAAGGAATTCAAACCAAAAGTATCAATCATCAATAGCTATTGCCAAAAATAGAAAGAAGGAAAGAAAAATGGTACTAGCAATAAGAAGGGAATGAGAAATATAACATTTAAAACAACCGACAACAAAGACTTCGAAGTAATGCTTCTTACTGTTTAACCTAGAGAAGTTATCAATCCTCCAAGTAAATCTTGATGGAGGATCCTCCACTGGTTAATTTTCCACAACATTTGCAGTCTCAGCTTGTGCTACAACAACAATTAAGACATAAATCACAAGAATCACAATCAAATTAAACCCACTATTTTCAGTGCCCAAAAAAATTAACTAGATTTTTCCCAAACGATTCAAAAAAGTAAATTTCTTTAAAAAATTATTGAAAAAGAAAAAGGGCAACTTTCATGGGTTGGTGATTGTCGGTTAAATCAGAGTTTGGGATGAACATTTCCTCATCTTCTTGTTGCTAAAAAATCAAGATAAAAATTCCAAAAATAATTAAATCGGATGAAGTCAAATCCATAAAGAAATCAAATTGAAGAAAAAAAGAACCCTAAAAACCCACCAAAGGCAACAATCAATCAAAATAATTTTTTTTATAAAAGAATTAAAAAAGAAATAGAGAGAGAGGATACATTGATGGGGGCAGGGGTCATGACAGTCATGGCTATAAAATTGAAAGATAAATTTGAAACTAATAAAGAGAGGAGAAATAAAAAATGGGGGAAATTGGAGAAAGATTTTTTTTCTCTTTTTTTTTTTTTTGTTTGATTCTATTTGGTGATTTATTACAGTGAAGAGCAACGACGAGAGGAAAAGATCATTAGATGGTCGAAACTGAGCGGGAGAAAAAAGGTCTTTCTATTGTCTTTATTTGGAAAATGGGTTTTTTTGGAATTTCAGTAATTTTTTGTACTTTCTACTTCTTTTTGAGAGACACGAACGCATAAAAAGTATATTTAAGTACGTACTATGCACCTTACCAAAAAAAAAAAAAGTACATACTATGCACATGTAATAATTTTATTTTATCATAAATTTTAAATAAAGTAGTAATTACATTAAAAAAATTAAATTTAATAATATTCGTTTAATCTATAAACACTTTAAAATAAAAGACAATAAAATAGAATCAATAAAAATTTTGATTAAGAGATAATTATGCGTACAATTTTTTTTATTTAAATTTGTAATTGAATTTTGCTAATAATTAAAAATTTTTATCAAATTCAAGCTAAAATTTATAATATCATTAAAAATCAAATGTTATCAAGTAAATCAATTTGGACATGTGATAATTGAAAGAAATGTGATCCTAATTCAGAATATCACATGTAAAAAAGATAGATCAACCACAAAATTAGATAATTTTTTATTATACATACTACTATTTAGAAATTAGAATAATATTTATTAGAAAAATATTAACTTGTTTTATTTTAAGAAAAGTTATATTTATAGTTTTGAGAAAAAACTATTTTTCTAATGATAAAATGCATTGTTAGTATTTTTATAAAAATTAAACCTATCAACTTCAATATATATAATACTAATAATTTATTATGCACATTTAACTCTTTTTTTACCGACTGTATATTCCAATATATTAAAAGTAATAAAATAAAAAAGTTCACATTTGGATTTAACTCATCCTAAATCCAAATGATGCTAAATTAATAATATACTAAATGCACACTTAATACAATATATTAATGTGATGAAATTGTAATATCATTAATATTTTAACTAAAGTATTCAATTTATGACAAAAATTAATAACGTCATATAAAATCTATAAAAAAAAATCATTATAGATAAAATTTTAAATTAGTAACAAAATTATAACTTCAATTAAAATACAAAACTTCACAAAAAAAAATTTTTCCTTCACAAAAAAATTTTTTCACTAAATAAAATTGATAGTAAAAATTTGTAACATTTATGTTATCGTTATATAATACCATAAATAAAAGTAACGAAATTACAATGTCATTAATAGTTAACTAAACTATTTCATTTATGAGAAAAATTGATAACATCACCTAAAATCTATTAGAAAAAATTTGTCATAGATAAAATTTTAAATTAGTGACAAAATTTAAACATCACCTAAAATAAAAAAATGTCACAAAAAAATTTCTTACCAAATAAATTTGACGATAAAAGTTTGTGACATTTATATTATCGTCATATACCACCATACATTGACATGACAAAATTGCAATATCATTAATAGTTAATTAAAGTATTCAATTTATGACAAAAACTAATAACGTCACCTTAAATCTATCAGAAAAAATTCATCACAAATAAATTTTAAATTGGTGACAAAATTATAATGTCACTTAAAATAAAAAATATCACAAAAATATTTTCCACCTAATAAATTTAGCGGTAAAATTTGATGAAAAGATTTTGGTGATGTTATCATGTGACGATTTTATATATCATCATATAAAATATTAAAATAATATAAAATGGTGATGAAGTATATTTTTCATCACCTATTACATACTTTGCATGACAAAATATAATGTGTCACTTAGAAAAAAACATTACAAATTGCTAGATTTGTTGTACCCATGCTACAATCTATCAAGATTTGGTGATCAAAGAAGTTCTCCATGAAGAATTTAGGAGAAGCAACATATGTGCTGGCATAAAACTCTATAGAAATAGTTCAAAAAGGTTGCTCGATCTTTCACAATCCGAATACATTGACAAAGTGCTAAAAAGGTTTAGCATTGAAGAATACAAAAAAGGATTCTTATTAATGTCACATGGCATAAATCTTTCCAATGACATGTGTCCTAAAACACAAATTGAGAAATATGGCATGAATAAGGTTCCATATGCTCCGCTAATTGGATCTATTATGTATGCAATGCTATACGCAAGGTCTCATATCTCATATACTCTAAACATAACTAGTAGATATCAAGCAAATCCAGGTGAATGTCACTAAAAGATTGTGAAAACAATCCTTAAGTACTTAAGAAGAACTAAATATGTGTTTCTTATCTATAGTAGAGCCAAACACCTAGTTGAAAGGTATTATAATGCAAACATTCAATTCGACAAGGATAATAACAAGTCTCAAAGTGGTTATGTTTTTACTCTAAATGGTAAGCAGTGAGTTGGAAAAGTTTCAAATAGAGTACAACTATAGACTCTACAATCGAAGTTAAATATATCTCTTCATCTAAGGTTGCCATAAAGGTCATTTGGATCAAGAAGTCTGTAATTGAACTAAAGTGTTGTTCTTAGCATTGTTGATCTAATAATGGTCTATAATGACAACAATGAAGCAATCGCTCAAGCCAAGGAACCAAGATCTCATCAAAGATCCAAACATGTATTTAGGTGATATTTTCTTATTAGAAACTTTGTTCTAGAGGTGATGTTACAATTGAACAACTACCCACTGAGGATAACATTGCTAATCCTCTTACGAAAGCTATGTTTAAGCAGAAACATGATAGTTATGTAATCAAATATGGTATTAGTTACATGATTGATTGGTTTTAGTGCAAGTGAAAGATCATTGGTCTTTACCCTTCAAGCCGAATCATATAAAGTCTTGTTTATTTATCATTAAGCTTGTTTACATATATTTTCAATATTAATGCTTATATGATAAAGTTCTCGAAATATAAATAAAGATTTGCAAGAAAATTACAATTAGATCATCATTGCATAAAAAGTTATATGTTTCAAAATAGTTCTTAGTCGATGCTTTATCAATAAGAAGATATTGACAAAAGTTGTTAAGACTAGCACACGGTCATGCTTTTACTTATAAAACAAGCAACCAATCTTACAGGTTAAAGTTTTGGTAAACTTGAGATAACATATGAGTGCTTGTTATAAGAATAAGTTTACTGAACATGATTCGATATAAGAATATTATATGATAGTTCACATAGTGTCTATTCCTACATTCTCATGTAATGATTGTATAAGTTATCATTTGACTTAAGATTACTTATGATCTTATATAATGAATGTTATATTTTGACTTTACTTTACTTATGGTTCTAACCTAGAAAACTTCAATCGAATATTATTAGGTATAACATGACAAGCAAACTAAAAAAGGTAGCTACACTTTAATAGAAAAACAATAGTTTCAAGTTGTCATCCATTCTTTACCACATAACTAGACCACATTAAAATGCACTTAACCCATAATAAGAGTATAACAACTCTCATTATTGTTTCTCATAATTTTCAATTAGAGGAAAATCATTTGGAAGCATCTAAACAACTAGTTCTAAAGGAAGGTTGGGTTGCAAGTACAAATCACATGGTGGGAACAATGAGAGAACTTATAAAAGGCTAAAGAAAGGCTAAAGTTGCAAAAAACAAGGTCCCAAGGGTCATTCTAAGAAAAAAAAAGTTAGAGTCAAGTGCTTTAATTATGAAAAAAATGGTCGCTTTGCTTGTGAATATAACGAGGTAAATTATGTTCAAACTCTTAAAGCATTATTAAGTAATGCTAAAAGTACTGTTTTGATTACTAAATATCATCATTTATGGATTGTAAACTCAAAAGTCATAAACCATTTAGCATGAGATAGGAATGTGTTCATGGATTTACGTCGATTCCACGAGGTATAAAAATGGATATATATTAAGAAATAGTTCATGAATTGAAGTAAGTGGTATTTAAACTATAAGCTATGCATGCACGGTGAAAAAACTCTTATCTTACATAATGTATCATTTGCTCTTAATATTTGATGAAATTTGATTTCTATCATGATTCTTCTTAGCTTAAAATTTGTTTTACACTTTAACAGTAGAGGTGTTAATTTGTATTTAGATACAGGTTACTATGAATTTGGATTTCTATCAAATGATTTTATTTTGTTAGATATTGTTTCATACAATAATTTAAGCTTTTTCCTTATAAATTATTTTGAATCAAATATTAATGTAAATATTTGGCATGCTAGATTTAGTGATATAGGTCAACAAAGAATAGATAGACTAGAAAAAGATGGATTATTATGCCCTATTAATAAGGTTAATCTACCACTGTGTGAAAATTATCTATGAGGGAAATTGACAAGAAAACCATTTGTAAATGAACTACAACTAAAATTCTATTGTAATTGATACATTCTGAAATTTATAGCCCAATGAAAATGAGGGCACGCAATGGAGATTAGTATTTGATCACTTTCATTGATGATTGCACGCATTTTGGGTTTATTTATTCGATTTCTCACAAGTCTAAAGCATTAGAGTGGTTTAGAAAGTATGTGACCTAGGTAGAGAATCAATTAGATAAATATGTTAAGATGTTGAGAATGGATTAAAGACATAAGTATTTGTTCGATTAGTTTAGACAATTATGTGTTAAAAAATGTATCAACAAGCAATTCACCATTTTAAGGATTAAACAACAAAATAGTTTTTTTAAGAGAAGAAATAGAACTCTTTTGGAAATGGTTAGGTCTATAATGACCAAGAAAATTTACCAATCACCTTTTAAGGTTACACATTGCTAAGTACAACCTATATACTCAATAAAGAACCATCTTATTAATTGCATCCTCCCTTTATAAGTTATGGATTAAGAGAAAACCCGATCATAGTGATATGAAACCTAAGGGTTATACTACATATATACATAAATTCGCTTATTCACATGGCAAGATAGGTCCTTAAGGCAAAAAGAATATATTTGCAAGACATTTTGAGCATCCAAAGGGATATATGTTCATAGGTGAATAGTCAAGTGGGGGTGTAATTGAGTTTGACTCATGAAATGTCACTTTTTTGGGAACTGAGTTTCTAATAAAGCATGAGATAAA